AAAAAAACATGGAATAAGTAAAATTCTATCTTTCCATCTGAATAATATAGTAGCCGATGTCTATTGGACTAACAGTTAATTGACTCATTCACTTATATTAGACTCGATTTGCACATAAACTAACATACAGAAAAATATTAATTTGTTAGACTTAAATACYGTTTAATAGGATCATTTTGAACTGAAGAAGGGAAAATTAAATCAACTATGGATAGTTTTTTTTTATCAACAATTTATAAAGTAGGTACCTAACATATTATAATATTTTACCACTTTATTTTTAGTTAAAAATGTTTCAATTAAATACCTATACATTATTTTTATGTACATTTAATTCTATACTTAGTAGCTGAAATTTCAATAAATACTTTTTAAGTAAGTAAGTAAGTATATATATTTTTATATTTTTGTAGTTTTTCACTTTATTGATTCATTCGGTTATGGACTCAAATGGTATGGTGTCAAAGTGAGTCACAGCAATCACTAATAAAAAATTGGATAAGATAGTATGGATCAGTGTCGGTCTTGTCYATCTTCGGCGAATGCTAGAAATCCTTTGATATATTTCAATATTGGGGGCCTATAGCCAAAAAAACGTATTTAAAATCATTTACAAGTCGTGGGTGGAACATTTAAAATTCTTTTTGAACTAAAAAAAAGTCTAGTGTATTCAACACATTATACACGATAACGTTCAAATGTTTTTATACTATCATGCAAACGTCAGATTAAGTATGAACGAGTATTTTCAAAACTATACTCAGATCTTGTATAAGATAAAGCTAACAAAATTTGGATACTTAACCCTGCATGTCGGTTTGTTGAAAATACATCATTCAATTTACAAAGAAAGATAAAATTATCATTACCTATGTTGGAATTTTCCATCATAATAAAATAAAAAACTACTATAATAGGTAATTTAGAACTTATTAATTAATGAAATTTAAGTTACTAAAATTATTATTGACTTTWAAGGTCAGTATTTATTAAACCTCTGTATTATAGGTGACTATTAAAATATTTCAAATATTGTGACAAACGTTTGAATATTTTATAGAAGGATTTTCTGATTTATCTTTAAAACTTGATGGGGTATTTACARGAAGTGAATAGTTTTTTTGTTTGTTTTGAAATTGTCTTTATCTGTATTTCCTATTAAAATTTATATTTTGCTTATCAAAAATGTTATGTCATTTAAAGCAAGTACTTTGAGATAAATTTCGATTTATCCAGTTGAGAAATTCTGTTATAAGTTAATTATTTGGATAAGAAACAAGTAATAAATAATTTTTAATTAAAAATAAATTCATATTTTATTGAAGTTTAGGGCCCAGTCATTGGTCACACTGAAACTGGTATAGATACAATATTCGATAATGGTAATAAATTAATAAAATTCTTGCCTTAATGCTAGGATTTAACCCGGACGCGGCCATATAGCTTGCACCAACGGTTTTGATTTTTTCGATTGAACTAAATTTCGTTTCTGATAACAATTCATCGAAGTCAGCTGTAAAACAAAATAGTTTATGAAATTTAACCAGCATTAAAAATGTAAAAACAGTTAAAACACTTTCGTAAGTTTGACCAGTATGGGTAGGCACCTAAGTACTTAACCCTCTAATCTCTATTTTAAAAGGAATAAAGAAACCTCAACTCCAACCAAAACGCACGGTATAATTATAAGTACCGTATATAATAATATACAGGGTGTATCAGATAGAACTGACAAAAAAAAAAAATATGCTAATTAAACGTACAATAAAAATTGTGAAAATTATATAATTAATAACTAATTTAAGAAATATACTCATTTCAGAAATAATATT